TTACTGTCGTGTTGAAGTTCTAAAACTCATTCAGTGGTAACAAATTTAAAAAGTTCTAGATGTGAAATTGAAAGTTTACTGTACACCTACACAGTGCAGGTACTTACTGCTGTTAACTGCTTCTTTCTCCCCTGGTGGACTTGTGTCATTTGCACCAGTGGCTCTGCACCTTCTGACCTACATAGAGCTGAGCAGCTCATGCACCGATGTGCTAACTATGACGCAGATAGCAGCAGATTTACTGACAGCTTCAGTGTGTCTGCGGTTTTACTCCTGTGAATGAAACCCCTTTTTTTCATGAGGTTACCATGAAATGATTGATTGAGCCATTTATGCACAGAACCTGCTCAATTTTACTTTAGTTTATCAGCGTTTGCCTGGAGACTGGAGCAAACTATTATTACTTCTGCCGCTAATTTTGTTTTTGTTCACTTAGGTATAAGATTGACCTTCATTTCAAATCAAACATGAGCCCCCCCCCCCAAGCCGTTGTCGCTGCTACTTCATGATTTCAAATGTCTTAGTCAGTTTCCTGTGTGTGTGCGGTCGCTGGTCGACACACCACCCAGCACTGAAAGGTAAACTGCTTTCAATTCTTTATTCACCATGACTTCTACTTGTATGTGACACAGATAGGGTTGAAACCACCTGCACAAAGTTGGGTCAGAACAAAGTGAACCTTAAACAATAATCTCCAGTATTTTGTGCATTGGCGCAAGAATAGAATTCTCTTCATGATAGTATTTTTACTCCCCAGAGCGCGGGACGTTTTCTGCCTTTTTGATCTCTATCTACATGACGCGGTGTGACCATGAATAGTCGTTTCTGGTCTGCTTTCAGTGGCTCTGAATACCCGAGAGTGCACTTTTCCTGTAATAGCAACGTGGACAATAGCAAGGAGCCACTGCACCACTGGATGGTTTAATGTATGTGTGACATAACAGAGAGGGGCATTGTGTGAACGTGGGTCAAGTTTTTTTTATTTTTTTTATTAGTGTGGGTTGTCTAAATATAACAGAAAGGTTCATAAGTATTCACAGCACATGCTTACATAAAGATGTCTCATAAAGACGGAAGCATCCACATATTTTAGGATGATTACATCAGGGTTTTTCTGTTAGATGTCCCTGGTTCAGATACTCATTCACTACCTGTCTCTCTCCATACAATGATCTTACTACATCATTTATTTGGCATCATCATTCATCAACAATGATGACTCTCTTTGTGCTTCACGCATCAGTTTCTGACATTAATGGCTGTTATCACCACGTGTAATTTTGAACATTTGACAGGATTGTGTTTGTGCAGACAGTGGGTGCAAAAATCTTTCAGAGGCATTTTAAAAGCGTTAAATACTATATTTCAGAAAGAGAATAGCAACTCTACAGAGACTGACAACCTAACCCCCCAAATGATAAAAAAAAACTTGTCACATTAATTTATCTCAAAATGTGCAATCCAATGTTTTACTTGTCGTCTTTAATAGTGAAAAGTTCAACTGGACAGCTACAAAAGGGCAACAGCCTTAAATAAAAGCAATAAGGCCTGATCTTCCATTAAGACCAATGCCAACATGGACCAGGTGACAACCAAGCACAAGCTAAGACGATCCACCCAGTGGCTTATTCTGCCGGCATCCTGCCATTCGATGAGAGGAAGGCTCCGCCTGTCCAACTGCCTTCCTTACTGAGCCACCACAGGGAGCCTGCTGGGGTGTAGCCATGCAAAATGGCTCCAAATTAGAGGACTGATAGGATGCTGACTCAGAGCAGAGCAAAATCTGCCTGGTAACCTCAAACACACAACTTCCCACAACTGGGTACAAAGGCTGAGTAAAGTCTCTTTTCTCAAATAGAAATAGAATTAGATTTAGACAAGTTTTTGCTCAAATACACATATAAGGATCCTTGTGAAAACTAAAAGTACATTCAGAAATAACATTTTGGTCATCTGCTTCTTTTTTTATTGTGAAAAGCGAACTGCTGCCCGTTGTCAGCTGTTGGCTGATGCTCTGTGGATGTGGGCTCATTTCAGGAGTCACAGTGTCAATCAGTTCAGAAACCGGACAAACAACGAGAAGCAAAGTTTGAATTCTGCCCAACAAACTGCTTGCGAAAATATTAGCTACCGGTTCTGACAGTAACTCAATCGTGCTGCACAACTGTGTGATGCTGCTGAACTGTCATCATCATTATTCAGCGTAAAGGTTATTCCCTACTGCTCCTGCATTTAGGGAAAGTAAACCCTGACAAACACAGCTGTCTTCTGCAGCTCTACAGAGATTTCTCATGTCAGAGGTTAAAGATTATATTCACAGCTCTACCTCTGTGTTGGACAATAAGAATACATCTGAATGCATAACATAGCGCACGTACCCAGTCGAGCTCTTTTGGCTTTTGTGTGGTGCAGGAAATAAAAGTAGGCCGATCGATTCAAGAGTCTCCTCTGACTGTTTCCCTCCTACTCAACCTGGAATAGTATGAAACCCATGAGGAAACTGATCTGAGGAAAAGAGACACAGGTTATAAATTACTGTGCTAAAAAATGACAGTATCCCTATGCACGTATGTTATTTTTTGCTCATGGACCATCGCTGACCTTGGGCAGCAAAAGATATCTGAATTAGAGTTTCACATACACACATACTTCACCTGAAAGTCACAGTATCCCAACACCTGAATCAATTAGTCAGTCAACTGCAACAATTTTGAGAGTTGATCTCCTAAGTGATTAAAGCTAAAATGCCAAACTTTCTCTGATTCTAGTTTTTAAGAGGTGAAGAAATGTGATGATGATGATGATGATGATGATGATGTCTCTGTTTTCAATGACTGTAAACTGAACACATCAGGGTTTTTTGAGTCTGTTGTTTAGAAAAAACCAGGGATGTGAATATTTCAAAAGTGCTTGGTGAAATAATGATTTATAAATATTTTCTAATATTCTACAAGAAAGATGTTTGAGATAAGAATCCATAGATTCATCAAAAACATTAAAGACACTGTAACTCCAATCTAAATACAAACGCCCACCGTCTCTCATGACAAACAAAGATGTAACTAAGTAATGGTAAGCAAGTAATTGATTACTTAGTAGTAGCGAGCAATGTAATTGTCATCCATGTAACTGTTGGAGATGGTTCAATTATGTAAATATTGAAAACCAGTACTTTACCTATAGATTCCATCAATTTTACTCAGGAGAAAGTTTTTTATGCCGTATAAAGATAATGCTGAGAATTTATGGGGATTGCAAAGCAAATTATACCATGATGCTTAACAGAGGATTCGCTTATTCTGGTTTATGTCGGTTTTAAAATAATATCTGTGTAGATGCATATACATGCACTTTTTACTATTTAAACATAACTAAGAGTCTCAGCACTTTGATATAGCAGAAGAAAACTGTAAATGCAGTGAGTGCAGTGGACGGCAGCAGTACATAAGTCGGCAGCAGTATAGTTGAGGAGGACTAAACTTCATACTGTTAGCATCCTGCTGTCAGTGAACTTCATGCACACACACAGGGCGGCTGTGGCTCAGGAGATAGAGCGGGCCGCCCACTAACCAGAAGGTCTACAGTTCGATCTCATTCTGCAAGATTCAGAACCCCACATTTGCCCCTGACAACTGGGAATGCAGTGTATGTGTGTATGATAGAGAAAGTGCAGCAAATTGACACACTGTCGGTGTGAATGGCAAAACACTGTTAGTGGTCCTCGAGACTAGAAAACCAGAAACAACAGTTAGAGTTGACCCTGATGGAAAACATCAACACAAACACTAAGCAATCATCGATTCACATCTTAAACTGCTAATGTCTACCACAGTGAATACCACATTGTACGAGGAACCATGCGGCTCAATGTAAATTAAATGGCCCGTCCTTTGAGTGCACTGGCTTATGTAAGCTGCTGCTGCTGCTGCTTATCCACCCCCCCAGCTCTCCATCCATGCCTTTCTTTCCCCTCAGCAGCGGCCTCATCCTGGCCCTGAAACCCAAACGTCTCATTCACACTCACACTCACTCTCACACACACACACACACAGCCCCATCCCTAAACTAGGGAGTGCAGGGGGTGGGTGGGTTGGTGAGGAGGAAGGTGAGGAGAGGAGGGGAGGGGGCCCTGCATCCCTCATTTTCTGTGCCACCTTGAAAACAACACCCCAATTCCTGGCTGGTGCTCCTCCATTCCATCATTGTCTGCGCACGTCACATGCAGCAGCGTTACAATCCTCTTTATCCACTCAACCCCCCCCCCCCCCCCCCACCCATCCACCCACCACTGATGGCTTTTAAAATATGTATCTGGATCTAAATCCCCGCTCCTCTTTTTTCTTTTTTTCTTTTTGTTCCTGCATCCTCCTCTCTCTCCCCTTCTGTCTCTCTTTCATTCTCTCAGGGTCCCTCCCCCCCCCATCCCTCCAACGTGCCCTCACCCCCTGAGTCCTGCAGCCACCAGGTCTCTCGGCTTGGCGATGTCACAACACTGTGTTTTAAATGACCCTGCCCGGTTTGGAGAGGGTGCACAATGGAGGGAGACAGGAGAATGTGGTGGTGGTGGTGGTGGTGGTGGTGATGGAGGGGGGAGTGAGTGTCGGGAGACAAGGAGGGGAGGGAAGGGGAGGGGAGGGGGGAGGCCAGGGATGAAATGCGACAAAGGTTGGAAGCTGGATTTAAACCCACATCGTAAACGCGTAAACGCTTCGTTCCGGGCTCACTGAGCGAAAGAATCAAATGAAGAGCTGACAACCAAACAATGTGCACGGAGGAGGAAGCTGGACCATGATACGATAATGCAGAGCCATTATTTCCCATCCTCTGTCGCTCTCATACATTGTCTCTGGCTGGATCGTGTCAGTACGTGCATGCCTGTACAGAGGTAACGTGGTGCGCGCATCCATCCTCCTCAATTCATTATCATGAGAGAAGAGGACGCGGGGCGGCCTGAATGTGAATCCTCCATTAATCCCGCCGCGGAAAGGAAAAAGGCTTACCTCCACATTTCAGCTCTGCTCGACCCTGCCTTGTCTCATCCTGTTCCTCTCCGCCGACTCCCTCCCCTTCTCTCCCCATGACAGCATGTTTCTGCTATCTATCTCCACGGTGAGGCTGCTCTCCTCCTCCCTCAGTTCCTCCCGTGTCCTCTTCCTCCGTCCAGAAATACTATTTAAACACACACAGCACACGCGCACTTCCCGGTCTCTCTGTGTCGGTGCCGGCTCCTCTATTCTGTTGTTGAAGTCAAGAGGCAGGTTGATTTGTGCTGTCCTCCTCCCTCTTTCTCCCTCTCGTGCTGATTCTATTCCATTCACATCACACTAGAGCCAACCCCCTCTCCCTCTCTCTCTCTCTCTCTCTCTCCCTCACACACACACACAGAGCATTACCCAGCCTCTCTCTCTCTCCTCCCCCCTCCTCAGCTCCTTGTCACAGAAAGAGACAGCCAAGCTCTCTGTGTCTAAAACGTGAATATTAAATTCTAAAAAAATGACATGCACAAGTTGACTGTGTGGCAGACTAGATGCGGAGCCAGTTTTATATCAACACACAAAACATACCCACAATCTCTCAACCTACATATTCGGCTTGAACTTATCTCTCTGCTAGATGAATATTGATTGTAATATCCGACACCTTCATTTGAAGTCTCTCCCTCTCGTGCCAAAAGCTGACATTTCTGAACAGCGGAGATAAAGGTTGAAAGAGCAGAGTGAAGGGCAAAGGTGAAAATGGCTGTGTGTGTGTGTGACAGTGTGTTTATTTGGAGAGACCTCTGTGTACTCCCCAAACGTAGCCATTGTGGGTCGAGACCATAACAAACAACCAACCAGCTCAGGCACAATGAGAGCGCAGGAGAATAAGAACACAGCCCGGGCCTCTTTCCTCCCCACTACATCTTTACAGAACAAGTACATACCTGTGAATGTGGAACAACCATGACATGATGCTCAGGAGAGGAGGAGATGAATCATGCTGCTCAACCTCCACTGCAGCAGTGCAGCCAAGTGTCCGGCACCATCCCCCTAATTACTGGATGGAGGCTCGTCCTGGCCGTACCATATGGCCGTGTGTGTGTGTGTCACCAGGTCAGAGGCTCTGGTCTGGGGTTGGGGGAGGAGGAGGAGGAGGAGGAGGAGGAGAAGCCTGCGTTGCTGGTGTTGTGTGTCTTGGAGAGATAAGAAAATATAAGAGCACAGGCACTGGTTGATAGCATTGAGACAGTTTTCTTAAAAACAAACATACCTCAGATTGGTTCATCTGGGGTTTGCTGCTTCCGGGGTTCAGCGTTGTTTTAACCTGACAAAGGAGAGGAAATGATCATAGTTTCATTATTTAAACATTCAGACCAAGAGAGATGTCACCTACATTTCCATGAAACTAAATCAAAATGAAAAGCTTTTATTGACAAGTAAGTTTTTTACACATACATGGAATTTGTTTTGGTGTTGTTGGTGCATGTCAGACATCTCTAAATACAAGAGGATAAGAAAATGAAGTACTAAAATTTAACAATATAAATATAAAAGTATATGCACAGTATGTTTTTGAAGGTAAAAAAACAAAAATAAGAAGGGCAGTACAGCTGAGTAAGTACAATGTGCAAGTGTTCACAGTATGCAGAGTTTTTCCAATATATTATATAATATATGTGTAATATTATATCTATGTAGAAAAAGGCAATTTCATTCACAGAGTTAGAGTAGCACTCATTAGGGAGCATACCTCCGCCAAGGCCCAACGGATCCCTTAACCTCAATCAAACTGCACCAGATTTCACACACTTACAAATATCAGTTTTAAATGTGTCTTATAAAAAACACCCTATGTCACAATGTTATAGAAAGTGAAAAGTCATTCCTGGGTTCTTCCCTGAGCCATGAGACACTCTTTTAAGTTTCAGGGAAGTCGGATAAGTTGTTTTTGTGTAAACTAGCTTCCAAACAAACAAACGGACAGGGTTGAAGCGGTAACCCCCTTGGTTGTGGGTAATGACCTCTGATGTAAACAACAGTTTGAAAGTTCAGACCATCACAAATCACCTGTAAATCACACTAGAGGTCATTTAAGAAAAGGCCTCACTACGATCGGTGCTACAGTGACACCGTGTGGACGTGTCCCGCTAAGACTGTGGTCGTGTTTACAGCTCTGCAGAGAAACATGGTTGACATTTTAAAGTTTCGTCCTGTTTGCTATTTGAACAATGAACTCTCCTCCAACATCATGTTTATACCTAAAACAATGTATATAAGCAAAAACGTTAGAGTGCATTTAAATCATCATTTCTAAATATGTGGTTAAAACCAACAATTGTTTTTTTATATTATCTGACTATTAACTCTGGTTATCTTGTTTAATCTGTTTCTTTTTTCTTCATCACAGCACATGGAGCCAGAATTAAACAATATTTTTTCTCAGAGGACCAGATGATGCAGAAACAGTCAACAGGAGGAGGAGGAGGACGTTAGATGAGTGTGAAATTCCTCTCTCTCTCCTCATGGGGACTGGCGTAGCTCTGCCAGGTGCAGTGGGAACATGTGTGTGATGAGATGTTGAGCAGAGAGGCTAAGGACTTAAACCTGATTCACACACATTTAACAGCATCAACCCAAACAGGATCAGATGCAACAGAATCTTTATCTGAGTCTCTGCCTACCTGGCTCTGTCCTGCAGCCTCTGGTCACCTGCACAGTCCAGCACCAAGTCATCTCACCTCGTAGCCTCAGTTTCCCCATTTGATCTAAAGCAGAGTCACAATGGTCAGGTTGCACTTTTACATTTAGCTTCTAACAAACCCATTCCTGCTTTCAGCTCGTGGTCTGAACTCGGCTAATGCAACTTCACAAATAGAGAGAAAATTCACACTGCTGCCGCCTGGTGGACAAACTGTATGTAGTAGTAAAATTAGAGATGTTATGATATAAAAAAAGATAAAAATGCATGTTGTAAAAGTTGACTTTGATGAGTCCAAGTATTCTTAACTTTTCCAAAAGGCTGCCAACAATTGAATAAATACACAAAACCACATCTGAAGCTACAGAGCTAAAGCTAATGTAGACGGTGCAATATGCTGGTTATGGCATTCATCTTATTTTTTACTTTTACATTTTATGTAATAAAACAGAAGTAGCACTTGTAATTTCACTGTATTTGGTACAATGAGAACAACGGTTTTCTATTCTTCTGTGACTGTGGTCTTCTTTAACTCTATCTCTCTGATCTCTACATATTTGAAATTCGCAATCATGCAATGCTACAGAAATCTGGAGGTATCAACACTTACCGGAGTATTAACTCTCCACTAATGTTAGTGACATTCATCAAACTTCGCTGGCGATTGAATGTGGTTCTCAGAACTCTGTGCCGGTAAAAGAAATACAGTATACTCTGGTGGGAAATGTACACTTTTAAAATCGAACATTAAAGACACTTTACAGGGGTTTTTACAATGTTTTTTTTATCAATTCAACAAGCTTTTTAAATCAAACCTTCAAATCATACTCCCAACTGTGTTTCACATAAAGATATGCTAAATTATTTCACATGTAAACATAAAAACACAAACTTGAAAGTAAGATATCACTTTAAGGTCTTGTCCTGTTAATATTGTGAGGCCTGTTAGTTTACATCAAGTAAAAAAGAAAGACAGCTGTACACAAAATTTACATTCCTTTAACAGTTCAACATGGCTTCTGTCTTCTAAAGGTTTCTTAATAATCAGGTTCAGTATGTACATGTACAAGCAACATGTTTAACTTGTGGATTTGTCTCATTGCACACTGTGTACAGATGATCGCAACAGGGGAGGATCGGGAAAAAATTAATTCACCTGAATGGTTACGAACAAAAATCATAAACGCTTCCAACTATTTAAAATACATGGAAATGAAAAGCAGAGCTTCTATTGTAAAAGATAAACATGAGCTGAGCTTTAGCAACATTAAAACTTTGGATCTTTTGTCTAGTTTTAAATATTTGTCTGTATCCTAATAGTTCAGATTATTTATTTGAATATATAGATACGTATAGGGAAAAAGATCCAGAAGCTTTCAGCAGCATATTTCTATTCCCCTTCAGGCACCGCTGCCAGGGGAATCACAATAAACGGATGAGTACTGTGTGCCATGAGTTTGAATGGGCAGAACTTTACTCCAAAAACAGAACTGGGGTGTGATTCATTGTACTTTTTTTCCTGTTTACGCACTCACAATACTGATAACACTGAGTCATTGATATAAATATATAAATAGAACCACAGTCTGATCATCAGTGGGTATTGTTTTCAATCACTATATTTGTTACTATTCAAACCTTTGTAAACAGGAAGAGGTTCTGACGTCTGCACACCATAAAAATACCAATGTAGCAAGTGATGACTAAGGTTTGGAGTGTTAGTTAGGTCAACGTTTAATGAGTGTACATTTCATCAACTAAGTTGTCTGAGTATGACTTGTACGAATAAAAAAAAGGGATTTTTCTAGTTTAAGTCAAAAGGGGAATTCTGAAAACTTTCTGGGATTTTATAAATATTTCTGATGACTTCTACTTCCAAAAGTTTTTGGTGCAGTCACCGTCTCTCTTCTGTCCGCAGGTTTGACAGTTTATTTTATCCTCACAAAATACAATGAATATTCACAATAAAAGCTTCTGCTTCTCAAGTCACAGTTTATGTTCATTGTCTGGGTCTGATTGAGATTCTCGATGAGTCATCTTGACAAACAAAAGAAACTTGATCTGATCCATCATTTGCTTCAAGTCTGTAATCTGACAGTCTGGGATGGTTTTCTGTGAACCAGGATTGGGCTCTACCACTTGCCCCTCTTGCTCCAGTCC